TCCCCTTGGTATTCTGTTTGTTACTCTCCACAAATATGAGTGCTACAACTTGATTGGCAGTTATCGATAAGAAATTGTTAAAGGACAACATACCGTCTATGTTTTTTTTCATTTTTTCACAATCATCATTTGTCATTCCTTGTCCACGATATAGAACTTCTGGTAACAACTCATTACTATTCGAACGTAGCCCATCGATCTGTCGATGAAGATCTTGAATATAGAATCCCATTTGGATAATAATATCAATATCTTGAGTGCGCAAAGGATCGTTCAGTATTCGATAGATAAATAGCTGCCGTATATACCACTTGGCTGCCGAATAGCAGTAATTAATATTCTTGTTCAAATTGGTTAATCAATCTCAAGCGACTATTGTTGTTTGCATCTTGGTCACGTAAAAGTGCAACTAGTCCTTCCATTTCCTTTTTCTTATCATCTTGTTCGATTTCGTGAAGAATTTCTTTCACCAATTGTGAATACATGAATGATTGCTCAAGTTCATCCAAGCCTACAGCTGAAGCATCTGTCAACCAAACACTACGGATAGTCATTTAAATGATTGTCATAACGTTGAATTTCTGTATTGATCAAATCAGAGATATGTTTAATTTGAGTAAACACACCTTTAATTTTGTTACACTGTTGAATCCATGATCCACAATCCGATTGATCATCACCAAATAGATAAATAGATTTCAATTGAGGTTTATCTTGGATTAACTGTACGATTTGTTGATCTAAGTCATTAGATACAATCATAAACACTTTTTCATTTGTCATTTTCATGACAAAATTGACGCATTCATATCAATAAACGTAAAAATAAAATCGATGACGTCCTGAATTTTCATAATGATATTTTGATGATCTTCATTATATGTATCAATCTTTGACGGTAGGAGCAAATGAATAGCTTGATAAAATATCTTTGTTTTCCACGTTGTTTTGAATACAAATGTTATTCAATTTGCGTGTTCGATTGTCAGTATCGTCCGTCGATTTGCATGATAAAGACTCTCTGTAAGATGCTGCATTATTTTCTTCCATTTCATTCACTAGTGGATCAATGTTTTGCTTTTCAACAAATAGATATCTTTTGTTTGTCTAATAATTCATCACCGATTGTAAAAGAATAATGGTAAGAGTAAGTGTTCGCTGTTCTTCTTAATTGCTATTGCATGCAATTGAATATTGCTTCTTTATATGTAGATTAATACCATCTTTTCGTTTTTTTTTAATTGTTCTTGCTTATTTTCATTGTGTGTACAGCCATATTCATGATAAGAAATACAAACACTGTTGTGGCAAGGAATGTCTCTCTTGATTTAGCTGACACGTAATCAAAGCAATCACAACCAATATGAACTTTGAGAAATGCTATAAGTGATAAATTTATTTTTCTAATGTCCAATGTTATCATCTTACTTTTACGAAATTGAGGAGCACAAAAGAACACAACGAACAATGGCGTATCCAGCAGGGTAGCAATTGGGCAATTGCCACCCAAACGAAAATTTATTGCTACCCTTTTTTTTTTTAGCGTGGGCAATTGCCAATTGTAAAAAAATACGAAAATTTGTGTACAGTTAAAGATTTAAGGACTGTTTTCTGTCAACATATTTGCTCTTGACGAGATTTAATTAAGTGATTTACAAGAATTGATCTTCAATGTCTTCTAGTTAAAGAATGATCACCATAATAATAATAACTTATTGATATTTACTGGCAAAACACTCTCTATCTCTTATACATTTAAATTTGCTACAAATAAAAGTGGATAAATGTTCAACAATCTTTCTATTTCTACCAATATCATTCGTTTAGTACAGAAACGACTGAATCAATCTAAATTAAAAGTTTTCACAACATATTTTGCAATATGATTCGTGCAATGTAGAATTGAAAACGTGAGTAAATTATATAGAAAATTTAAATAAAATTGATTGTGTAAATGACAGTGTTTTGAAAACGTTTGGACAACTTATTTCAGACATTAAACGTACTATATTAGTAATAAGATGGCAATATATATAGTTCACAGGATTCGAATATATGAAATTGAAAAATAGATTTACGAAACACGAGGAAAAACAGCAAATTCATCTGTTAACGTAGGATGACTATAACTAATTTCTCTTCAAGTATACAACGACTTCTGTAATGCGCATAACTTTTTTTAATGATTGCTCACCAGATTTTATAATTGCCCACTATTGCTACCCATTATAAATAATTTAGCTGGTGAATTGCTACCTAGTTAAAAAATCCTGGCTACGCCACTGACAAAGAATATTAATTTTCTCAATCTTACACTCAAAAAAAGCTTTGTTTTTATCCGTCTAAGTCATATAAATGATCTATAAATGCGACATGTTACGTTGAACGCATATGTTACATTGTATTTTTGTACCTTACAAACCCTCTTCACAAAATATTTAGATTAATGTTTTCTCTATCGATCTATTAAACTAATTTAACAAAATCTGGCGGTAGACCATTGTTATAATGTTTGTTTATGTAAGACATTCATTAGCGTCACACATTTATCGTATGAAGGGTGTGGGATGGGTGTGTTTAGATGAGTGGATTACCCAAACCATACGCCAACTCCCACACCCATTTTCTTTCGAATCAATAGGAGTTGAAAACTAAATTAATTAGGAAATTATATTGCCAGATTTCTTTTATGTCTGTACTTCCATCAATGGAAATAAACGGAGAATTATCATCTCTTTTTAATTTTCTCAAAGAGTTTTTAGATTTAAGATCTGTATTTAGAATGAACCGCGCTTTGTTGCTTTCCGAATCCCACTAAAGAAAAGAATAACGTATTTGAACACTTGTTCCATTATGAGTCTATGAGCAACCTATTGCCCACAAAACCATATTTTAATTTCCTTTCTTCATAGTTTTTATAACAGTTCTCAGGAAATTTAGTCTGTGAACAGAGAACTTTGGATCTTTCGAAAATACTAATTTCGAATTTTCTGTTGAATAAAGTATAAAGCTCATCATTTATTTAGTATTATCTAATATTTTCAAAGAATGCCTTTCCTAAATGAACAAATGGATATTTTTCATTTCGTTCTAAAAAATCACGAAGCCTGGTTTCTTACTTATACAAAAAAGATTATTGCATATATTTTTTCATGTATCAAATTGATTTTTTAATGCTATCACATACCAAAGTGATGTTGCTGAGAAGAAAGAATATTAACCAATATATCCTTCCGTTAATCCAGGTACTTGTCTATTTACCCCTCAGAGAAAAAAAACAGACTTTCTGTATTATTAATTTTATCTTTATTTTTGAAAATAAAGAATTCATTTATCATTATTTTATAAATACAAAGATTTTATTTATATTTGGTTTCCAAATATAGCTAAATCATTTATCTTTATTTTACAAACGTAAAGCAAATGATTATCGTTATTTTATAAAGTAAAGGTAAGTTAACACCCCTACAATCGATCGTGATCTTAGCTGAACTATTACCGATTCATTCAGTTCTCTCCCGTCTTACCATCATTTCTACCGCACTCGAAAAATGATATTTGGCAATTTTCTTTGTTTTCTAAATAGAGAATGGCGGATCATATGACAAAAAACCGAGCTCTCCTTCATCCATAAGCAACAAAGAGTGAAAGTGATTAATTTTTAATGCATCAGAGAGAAGATAACATGTCATCGGAGAACTTTCGATTAGCTCTTCGTGCTCTACGTAGGAGAGAAAAAAAAGTATTTGTTAGCGAGCTACGATTCAACTTTACGGTCTATATATGTAATCGATCAGCAGCCATTAAAGCAACAAGCAAGGTGTGAGAATGCAGCCGTCAAACTTATATGTTTTTCTTCTAGTTCTGCTCGTGATTTATCCGATCTCAAGTGCAGCTCCCACAAAATGTACCAAAGATACGCAATGCCGAGCTGGGGCTGTGATGTGTGGCTTATGTCCAGGCTTCGGACCCGATTGTACAAAACCGATATGTATCGATGGATTTTGTGGTGCAATTCAACCTTGTATTTTTGCCTACAATGGAACTAAATGCAGCACATCCACCCAATGCAAAATAGCGAAGAAACAGTGCACAAAATGCAAAGCAAATACAAAACCACGTTGTGCTCAAGCAATGTGCCTGAATGGGTACTGTGTTACTATTAAACCTTGTTCTATTCAACTTATTTAATTAATTATCCAAGTGACTACGAATAAACGTAATTTGACTTGAAAAATCTTTTTCATATTTATGAATATTTCTCCTCTTGCAGAGACACAGAAATAACTTTAAGTTTGAAGATACGTAATTGTGAAAACATTGTGAAGGGTGTGGGCGTGAGCGCTGGTGTGTTATATGTATCCATATTCTCAATTTTTAAACTTGGCATCTACAGTCACATCTCACATTCTATTATGTTATAGGAGATTATGTGTGAGGGTGTGGGTATGGGTGTGGATGGGTGTGGGTGTGGGTGTGGGTGTGGGTGTGGGTGTGGGTGGGTGTGGGTGTGGGTGAGTGTAGGTGTGGGTGTGTGTAGGTGTGGGTGGGTGTGGGTGTGGGTGTGGTTGGGTGTGACTTAGGGTGTTGACAAAGTCCGTGCTATGGACACACTCACCCACATCTACACTCACACCCACACCCACACCCACCTACAACCCACACCCACACCTACACCCACACACCCACACCCACACACCCACACCCACACCCTCCGTCTCTTCAACTGACTCCGCATTTTCTATAAAGCATCAAATGTTTATCAAAAAAATATCTAATAATAAATGTAGATCTAATTTATTTCTTTTAGATGAAAGGAACTTCATAAACTAACCTACAGAATAAAATTCGACACCAAAATAATCCTCAACAATCAACGGCTAACATTTCTCAATGGCCTACCAGGATGGACAAGGCCTTCCAGAATACATGCTCAAACTCGAAACGCGTCGCATGATGCTTGGAATGATTCTTATTTTAACACACCCACACCCTCACCCCATACCCGACTAACACAACAACAGCAACGACACAATCTACACTACAATCTCTTAAAAAAATACCATTCGGGCCATTCTCGAAGATATTTTTCAGGTATGTTGATACTTTAGTCAGCAGTGTGTCTGAGGATATACGCATGAATAAATACATCGCTATATATTGTTAGTAGTGAAGATTTATAAGATTTTCAACTTGATAAAAAAAAACTTATGAGAATAGACTTTCAGAAAAAAATTGATACTATGAATATTGAAGCCATCAATCGACCATAATATTCATTCTACGTCTAACGACTATGCCTGCTTGCGAATGTGGACATTTTTTTTGGTTTCTTTTATTATATTATTTGTTGTTGATTTTTTTTCTATATTTTTATGAAAAAGATATATTTCATTAATGATGGCTCTAACCTTTTCTACAATAATATTTTCTTTTTGCTTTTAAGAGATTCACTACTCTCGAAAAATCTTTCATACTGAAACAAACAAAATGACCTCATCTACCATATTAAATTTAAAAACTCCAAGTCAAGATGCTCAAGGGTGTTGGTATGAAACACTTTCACCAGCGCAAGTGTTGACTGGTCAACAGCAACAACAGCAACCAGTAAAACCACAGAATGATGAACAGATGAAACAGAAGAAAAAGTGTCGTGGTAACAGAAAAGCACAACGCCTACGTCGAAGACTTCGTCAACAAGGTTTAGATCCAGATACAATTACTGAATTAGTTAATCAAAAAATAAATCCTCAACGACGACAACAACATGATGAAGCAATACAATATAATCGAGTAATGTGTATTTTTCTTATGAAATATACTATATTAATATTTATATATTCATCTAGATTCCTCAATCGGCACAACATAAAAATAATTATCAGGATACTGTAGTAAAAAAGCAGTAAAACGTAAAAGAAATGATACGCCAACAAAAACATCATCGGCTACAATTGATAAATCTTTAAGTCAATTATCTATTTCTCAACCATCATCAACAAACAAAAGATGGCAAATAATAAAATTGAACAAGTAACTACAAATAGTACATCAGAAACGCAACGTTCAAAATCTGAAAAACAAATTAATTGTAATAAAGACTATTCTTATATACCTAATTATTTAAAAGTGTCAAATCGTATATTTAGAAAATGTTAATTAATTCATTAGAAGGTGCTAAGGAAATTGTTAAAAGATTAAATTCAAAAGATAAAATTAATTATATTCGTCAATATGCTTATTTAATACATCGTCTATTCTATGTACAATTACAAGAAAGTCAATGAAAATATTATTATGATATTGATATGCAAGAAAATATTTGATCAGGGCGTGTATAAAAATATGGGCTGCTATGAATAGTTTGAATTATACTTATGGTCGATCAAAAACATTAATTGTACAACGTCTACAAACTATTCAACGACAACTTCAACAAGCATCACAAGCATTACAAGACTTCGGTAAACAGCCATTCCCTCAATGTCTATCTGAAATGAATCCTCCATTAGATTTTACAACATTATCAGCAATGGTTACAGCTGTTGTACATAAAGGTCAACATAAATTAAAACAACAATTTGAATATAACAAAAAAATGTTAAAATTAGACTCAACAGATCACCTTTTTATAAAAAATGTTTACGATTTTAAACCAAATAAACAACAAATTCGTTCAATTCGTAATATATGGAAAGCCATTCAAAATAAAAAACAAATGGAAGAATAAATTGAAATATTAAAACATCGTATCCATTCGAATTGTTTACCACCAGCATTTAATCTTCTTGATTATTCACTTGATAGAATTGAGAAAATGCTTAGCGGATCAAAACAATCTTCTAGTAATGATAATGATAACAAACAACAAATAATATTAGCTGCTCGTCGTTTAAAAAAAATTGGTCGATTTAAATGTGATATGCTTGAATTAAGTATAGCAGTTGGCGAAGAAAAAGTACGATATTGGCATAAAATAGCTAAAAAAGAAAAAAAGAAATTAAAAACTATTACCAATAAATTAAAGAAAAATAATTCTGATTCAGATATATTTAAACAATTAATGGCAGCTATTGAAGCATGTGAAAAACATATGATCGAACGTGCTGATTATATTACACAACAAAAATGAAAGTCTTTTTTCGACGAAGCCCCGGCGTCACAAGACAATTCAATGAAACAAGATGACGTCAGAGCAAATCAAAATTAAGTATTCGAAATCATACAAATATGTTTCTCTCTTTACATTTTGTTAATACTATTATACCATTATCCAATGAACAATTACTTATTATTAATAAAGGTTTAAAATTTATTTCACCCTGCCAAAGTCGTTTCTTTTATCTTCAACCTATGGAAAAAACTATTGAACCAGAGTACAACCGGCTCTATGCTGAAAATTGTAAAAGTCTTACTAATTATACGTTTTTAACGAATGATACACGGCCCATGGAGTAAAATATTTAAGGAAACGGACTGCGTAACGCGTTTCTGAGATTGTAGCATGCGTTTTGCGACGTTTTTTCAATATAGAACGCGTTTCACAGCATTCTTACTTCGATAGAATGCGTTTTGCTGCTGTCGTTTTTTGAAATGATCTGAAACGCGTTTTTCCAAGATTGCGTTTCGAAGCGTTTCCGAAGTAAAATAATGTCAAACGCATTTCGGTCGATAGGTAACGCGTTCCAGAGACACAGATTCGGAGAAATATGAAACGCGTTTCCTTTTCAAAGGCATTTTGCATCGTTTTGTTTGAAATGATACAAAGTATATCCGTTTTGCATACAGAATCTTGCAGGAATTTATCTGTACAAAACGTACGAGTTAATCAAAGTTAATTCTGACACTATGTTAGAAATTATAGGAAATGGGATTTGAACATTTTGTTCCTTGCACTGTTTCTCAACATGAAAGTCATTACCCAAACTTTCCAAACGCAAGATTAAAATCGAATTCTTCTAAATGTTTAGGCTGCTAGACTGTTATATAAGTCTGATTGGTAGTTAGGCTAATATTGAACATTAAAGTGTAAGAAAAATATATTTTTCTTCCTTGAAAACTCATTTCACTAGGTTTTTATTGAAAGAAAACGTGTTTCGTAACGTTCAACCAAGTATTGTTTTACATATTGAACAATTCGAAAAGATTTAGTAAAGACTGATGCTAGTATAATGTGTACGACAACTTTGTTTGTTTAGTTGTGAACAAAAGAATCTCGAGTTATTTATAATTTGAATAATTATTGATATGAATTCATATTTGAACTACTTGATAGTGACTGATGATACTGTGTACAATACTATTAAATATGATTTTAGTTCTTACTTTGTTAATGTAAGCGTGACTTATTAATAAAAAGAATATTCGATTTACAAAAGAATATTCTTTGCATTTAGTGATACTTTTGGATAAAAGGATGACGAATTTACTTATACAAAAATCTATTAAATAGAGAAAACAATTCGAAAAATTTGTTTTTAAATTTCTTAAAATTTATATCTAAGAGATTCAACTTCTTTAAATATTAAATACAATTTAAATTAATTAAAATCGTTTCAATTGGGTATTTAAATTTAAATTTGAACAAGCTCAAATAAAAAATATACTAAGAGTAGATCAAACTCGTTATTGGGTATAGGCACCAAGGAAATGATAATTTTTAATTTAATGGAATGGGATACTGAAAATCTAATTTAGTAAGTTTACGCAAGACTCTGAAAGACTATGGAATAAGCACTTATATCATTAGATTATTTTAGTTGAACGGTTTGTATACATGTCTTCTACTCTTATGTTCTCGTGTTCGAATCTATGTGTTGGCTTTATCAAAATTGATCTAAGTTATCGCTCTAAAGGTGTATGAAAAATGTAAGCGAGTAAAATAATTGTATCTGCAGCTCAAAGTGCATGAAGTACTTGACGGTTTTCATTTTTTTCCATCTAGAATATACGACACCACAGTTAGAGAAACGCTATGAAACGTTTTTAGAAAAACGATCGTTTCACAGCGTTCGTATTAGCAGATGTGAAATGCGTTAAACCGGTCAGCATTAACGCGTTTCGCAACTATGGAAAAATGCGTTTTGAGAACGCGTTTTTTTCGCAGAAATTTACGCCATGGGGGGCAACTGAATTTTTTTTTGAAGTTATACATTTACTTGAACAATTATATACCAAACCATTACCTAAAAAACTCGAAGAAAATGCTCGATACATTTATAAAAGGATAAAATCAATGCGACGAAAATTACGCAAAGCGAATATTGCTATTGGACAAACTGATAAAAGTAAATTATTTTTCTTTATCGATTGACAAGAATATGAAGAAAAAATTACAAATTATATGAATAAAACCAATGCTTATCAAGAAATCACGAGTGGTATTTGCCCATTAGCCGATCATTTACATTTAGTAATATTATTACTTGATCATTTACTCGAACGGAATGAAATTACCAATGAATAGTATAAACAAATGTATCCTAATTTAAAAACATTAGAATTAGCGCATATTTATTTCAATCTTAAAGTTCATAAGGTAAAATAATTACTTTTCATAGATAATTTCTTAAGCATTTCCTTTTCTAGCTTGAAATACAAGTTCGACCTATTGTTGCTTCAATCAATGCACCAGCAAGACAAATATCAAGTTTTTTAGATCAACTGCTCACTCCAATTTATAATTATGTGACAAAAGATATAACATTTATTAATAGCATTGATTTGATTCGAAAATTAAAAGACTACACAGAAAAAGATTATCTCACTTCAATAACATTATTTGTTACATTTGACGTGGCCGATTTATATACAATAATACCACGAGATGGTGATATTGCTGCTTTAGGGCGGTTCTGTCAAAAATATTCTGCCAATGGCAAAATTGGAAACCTCAAAATAGATACTATCATTAAACTAGCCTCTGTTGTTTTAGATACGAATACATTTGCTTACAAAAATAAATATTATCGACAAATTAAAGGCGGTGCAATGAGTTCACCATTTACTATGATTCTCGCCAACACATATATATTAGAATGGGAACAAAAATTAATTCAACATCAAAATAGACATCATGAAATTTATGGCCGGTAAGTTTCAAATTATTATTTCTATATTCTTTTATATTGATACTTTATTAATATTTTGTAGATATATTGATGATGTATTTATGACTACGAATTTAACAAAAGAAGAACTTTTACAACAACTTAATGAAACAATGAAAACAGATCCAAACATTAAAATTACTATTACAATAAATCAAGCATTAGAACATCTTGATGCTAGTATTGAAAATAATAATGGACAATTAGAAACAACTATTTATCATAAATCAGCTTGGGAACCTCATATTCTACCTTATGAATCTGATCATTCACGACATATTCATGCCAATATAATTTATACAATGTTAGTTCGAGCAGCATGTCTTTGTTCAACTGTAGAAGATTTCGATATGGAACGATTAAGTGCAGAAATGATATTATTAGTTAATGGTTATCCACCAAAATTTATACAAAAACACATGAAAAATTTCTTTATTCAACATGATGCGATGAATGTGTGGACTGAACTCGATGGTGAAACATATGAACAGCTGCATACTACATTACTTTACAAACCAATACGAAGAGAAAATAAATCCAAAGTCCAAACAAATGGACACTTAATTCAAAACCGAAGAAATTATAAACATAAAGATCAAATTTATCTTCATTACACATTCGAAAATGGACCATTATTAAATTTCAAAAAAGAATATCGTCGAATGTGGGAAAAATTCTATGTTTATCCAAGCTGACGCTTCAAAAATACACGACTTATTCTTGGTACAATATTAAATCGTACATTACAAAGTCTTTTGGTTCACAAAAAGCCTAAAAGAGATATGTTGACCAGAATGCAACCCACTACAGAAGCAGCTCAAACAACAATACAGGAACGATTCAATCAATGAAAACAATATTACTTCTAACAATCGAAAAAAGTCAAGAGCATTTTTTTCCTCTTTTCTCTTTTTGTTGTCTATCTATGATATTTGTTAACTATCATAAGATCTTGTTAATCGGTGAATATTGTTACTTTCATGTTTATTTTTCTGTTAACTATGCGGAAGATTTCATATACTGTAGTTTATTCCTTGTTTCATTATTCAAACTATGATATTTGATTATTAAGCATATGAATTCGTATCTTCTTGTTTGATTATTCCTTTTGAAAAAAATGTTCACATTGAAGCTAGACGAATTTCACTGCATTATATATTCTAGATATATACTAATCAACACAACGTTTTCCAAAAATAACTTCAAAACGCAACACAACTAACTCATTGATCCCTGTAAGTATTCCTAGTTACAATAAAACCCAACGCATACAAATGCAAAAACTCATTCCTTTTTTTTACTTCAGAATTACTACCAACCACAATCAACCACACTCAAGTCGACGAACGGCAATCATAAGTAGCTGACCACAACCATACAATGATACTAATATTGATCCAATCTACACTAGTCCAACCTTAATGAAAGAACAACCATCAAAACATATGAATGCAACAAACTACACGGCAAGCAGACAACCAAATTTATTCTCATAAGAAACTTTGCACAAAAGTATACTATGTCTATTACTTGTTTCTGCAGTTTTCTCATAAAACTCTCATCAATAATATTACATAGTAGTACATTTATATAATACACTTACACATAATTGATAGCTACAATCTTAGCACTTATCGGAACATGTGTCTTACTAGCTATACATAGATTTTCCTTATTAAATCATTCATTCATTCACACCCATATATTGAAGAATCTCTGCAAAAAGATTTTAGAAAGTTGTCCTTTTGAAAACTTTTTAATAATAATTTAATTGAATTATGATTAACTTGGCAGCTTTCCTTATAAAACTTTTGACTATAGTAATTCATAGTAGGAGAAGTACTTTATTTCCCATCTTCAATCATTTGCATTGTATAAGTAATTAATAAGTTTAATTTTAGCACTTATCGAAGCACGTGTCTTACTAGCTATTGATTGATTTTCCTTATTAAATCCTTCATTCATTCACATCCATACCGAAAACTATTTATGTTCCAAACACAATTCGATGAGCTCTATCCAA